TGAGTTTTTCCAGCTTACCTCCCACCCAAATCCATTCTGAACACAGTGAACACGGCATCAGCCAGCTCTGCTTCCAACAGAAAGTGAGTCAAATATTTTCCTTGTAACCAAAGTCATTGATGTCTGGGCTACACTGATGATGATGGCTTGAGGTTTCAAACCTCGCTGCACATGGAAAATTACTGTGTCACTCTGAGCCAGGTTCGCCACATACAGAAGAAAAACCCTGAGAAGGAAGTGGAAAGTATGCTTTTCTAATCAATGGCTTTCTGCAAAACTGAAGTCAGAGCAGCAGCATCCACAACCTGGTGGGGACAAACCAGACCTATAAATACAGCACATCTGCATCACAGCTCTAGACAGGCTTTGCTCCAGCGTGATCAGCTGCTCTGAAGTCTTTGCAGTGGGGTGAAGCTCTCGCCACAATTTCACCCTTTAGGAAAGTCAGAACTGGGTTTGTCAAGAAAGAGCGGGTTTGACATCTCTGCCTCTTATCTCCTCAAAAAACTGCCTGATCAAAACATAGAATTGAAGAGTTGCCACTGTAGGTATCATGCTAATTTTGTTATTTGTCAAGAAAGAATCAGATGGTATCACACATCACCAGCTTCACCCCGTATTTTCTACTTCATATTCTGACACACTGACTGCATTAGCATTGTCTTTTATACTCAAATTGTATTTCATACCAAATTCCCTGTGGGGGAAAGAAATCTTTGAAGCCATCCATTCAAATCTTCAAAGAAGGACCTTGAAGAGCACTCACAGAGTGTGAGAAAGTTTGGAGAAGGAGATCATGCTATAAAGTTGGTTTTCCCCTTTTGCTTTCCATACTTTTACCACTGCTGAGCTTCCTCTGCCAGTCGTTACATAAAGCTCCCTGCTTGATGGAAAAGCTTTGTCCATTTCTCCATGCTGCAAACTTCTACCAGATTCTTCCAAAATTTGTGACGTAGAACTGACCCACATGCAGTGGGTCTGCAATGCAGACTGCAGCTTTAACCTGTGGTAATGAAGAGATTTGGGGTGCAGGATGTTGGGGGTTAAGAGCAGACTGCATATTCCTATAAGCATGCACTTTTCAAGACATTTTTTTTAAGCTGAATCTCTTCCAGTGTTACATAGCAAAAGACCCTAGGAAATGCAAACTTATACTGCTGAAGAACGTGGTAAAAGATGGCAGATTCAGTTTTAGAGCCATACTGTCTGTAAAAATAATAAATCACTCAACAAGACTTGTTTTCTCCCTGGAACAGACATTTGTCTTTCGTTTCCGCTATGACATATTCACAGCCTACACGAACATTAAGTCATTATGAACAGGAACTTTGTGGTAAAACCAAAAAATTCCATCAAAACCAGAAGATACAAAGCTGTGTGCATGTCCTGTGGCTGCTCACTATTGAGCCTGATTAAGAGCAGCACACTGCTCTCTGAGCTTCGTACTAAATGGAAACTGCTGAGTTCTATTATGTTTATTATTTAGCTCAAGATTATCTGCAATATGTGCTTCAGGAATCACATCTTGGACCAGCCCAAACCAGAGTTGCTCACGTCTTGCGAAACATCGCGTCCTCGCTCCAAGATCAGACAGAGGAGGCACTCAGACCCTTCTTGGACAGGATCGATATTACCTCTGTAGATGTTGCCAAGAGAATTTTCAATGGAGTCATGGAAGAAAAGTTTGCCGACGGAAATACTAACTGGGGACGAATTACGACCATATTTACTTTTGGAGGTCTTCTCACCAAGAAGCTTCAGGAACATGGAGTTCAGCTCACTGGAGAGGAGAAGGAGCAGATTTCTTATTTCATCACAGAGTACATCATAAATAACAAAGCCGCATGGATAGATGCAAATGGTGGCTGGGTAAGCTGCAATTCCGTGTCTTCTCATTTTCCACCACAGTGTAGATTCAAAGATTTGTCTTAATTAAGGGAAACTTTTGTTACAGACACTTAAAAAACATTTTATCTGGGGTTTTATTTGGTGACTTAATTTATGATGTCTGCAATGTCTGCTTCAGACTTACAGTGAAAACTTTGCTTCTGCTTTAAATAGAACAAGGTTAAAAGACATCTTTCTTTTGAGAAAGGCACTTTCTGTTAACAGCCAAAACCCCAGAGTAAGACTTGAATCATACGATAGTACAATAATACGGGCTGAGAGAGATGTTAGGAAACCATCTAATTCAACCCTGTGCTCAAAGCGCATTAAATAAGACATTCCATCACACTTCTTATTACTAAATTTAAAAGTGAATGCATCCTACGGTTAGAGCAGCAATTCTGCTTCCACAGAAGCAAGCTGGTCCAAAAACACTGATGTTCAAGGCAAGGAAAGAATACACAAGTCTCATTCTCACAGTCTAGTCAGTACTTTTGCTGTGGATCTCATGAAGCTGTTATTTAATCCTCCAAATCAGTTTACTTAAACAAATTTGCAGGTAAGCACAATGGGGTTCAATCTTTTTTATTTGTTTGGACTGAGATAATCCTAGAACTTGCATACATCAGTGGTCAGAGCAGAGAAAAGCATTTGTCAATATGCGGATGAGTTCATCAAGCTGCTGAAATTCCCTTCTGCTAACAGAGGCAAGGTCCCTTTTGCTTTGCATAGTTTCATCCTGACAGTACCTTTCACTACTGCACTTCGGGGGAGGCTGAGTATCAGTGACATCAGAGAAAGTTATTTCCCTGGTACTTTTTTCCTTCTACCTATTTGTAAATGCTACTTTCTCTTTCCACTCCTCTCCAGTCTCACTTCTCTTATATTTCCTCTTTGCTATTTCTTTTTTTTTCCTTCACTTGTTTTCTAGTGTTTCCCTTTATTCTGCTTGTTTTTATCCTTCTCTGATAACATTAAAAAAGGAGGCAGTGAGTCACGACCCTTGATGCATCAGATTTGTTGTAATGATCCTCTCTGCATCCCTTGCAAATATAGAGTTATTTTTACTGAGGAGAAGTATTAACTTCAGGCAGCATTCTGTCATAATATGTGCCTTATCACAACAGAATAAGGATGTTAAAGGAAGATATTTACAAGCATATTATCACATCAGAAACACAGTACCTGTATCTTCCTCTAAGGTGTGGGCTCAGATGATGCAGTTCACACTCATTTTCTCTTTACATAGCCAGGGCACAGTCTACTTTGAGATAACACAAACATTCAGCAAGGTGCCTCTATTTTCAGCTACTCATTTTGAAGCCCTATTCATCTGGTGGAGGTAGAGCTGTGAAGAGCTGCCCCTCTAAGCACCAAGGTGTAGCAGTGTCACTGACACTGGCACAAAGCGGTGCATTTCTCCTGCACATCCTAAGCTGGCCCTAACTGTGCATATTCTTTCCTACAGGAAAACGGTTTCCTAACAAAGTTTGAAAGAAGATCACCACTATCTTTCTCTACAATTACAGACATGTTTGCAGCTGTTTTTTCCTTGTTCAGAGAGTACTACTGAAATAAATGGACCTGCTTGCTGCAACAAGCTTCATTGCTAAGTTTTCCTCCAAGCAGTATCAACTAGAAAATAACTTCCCTGCATAATTTGTTTTTAATTTATTTCTATTTATTTTGACTAATGCAATGTCTAACACACTCTCCTAATTGTCAAACCTAAAGAAAAGATGCTTCTAAAGAGGAATCAACGCTGCATGTGCAGCAGTGCAAGCCAACCTTTCCAGGCACAACTGCTTCGAGAGAGAGAGAGTCCTTTGCATCCACACAGCTCTTGGAATTTCTGTTGCACCTCCAATGAAAGGACATTGTCTTACTGAAATACAATCCAATGGGTTAGGAAACAAGTTTTAATCTCATTTGTTTTGTAAATGAAATACTACTGTAGTGCATTTTTATTGCAACATTTGTATAAGCAAAAGGGGGGGGGGGGATTTCTGTGGAGAAAAAGGAGATGCAAATTGCAGTGTAAAAGTGGGTACAAGTTACTGATCCAGACAAAGCAATCTTAATGGGAAGAACAACTTGTGGAAGCTAGCAATTTAAAAATGTGCACTCACTTACTGTTAATGCAATGGTATGTGTTTCTTTGTTCTATTTTTAATTGCTCATATCTACACTGACTGTTCTTTCAAAATTTTGTAATGCAGTCACCTGGCTGGACTTTTTAAAACTAAATTTTTTAAAGAGAGAAGTACAAATTGTTGTAATTTGGTACAGTGTAGCTACACTAATATTTTAGGGGAAAAAATTAAAATATGCATTTTCAAATCTTATGGTGGGCCTCATCTCTTTCAGAAAAAATTGTTGGATGGGAGAAGGGAGGAAGATCTACCTGGTTAAGGTAACTCAAGAAAGCTGTTAGAGAGCTACTGGAGAATCTAAGAAATGCACGGGTTAGAAGACCAAGTATGTCAGTACTACATTTGCTGTAGTGCTCCATTATGATTTGGTAGTTTATAAAAGAAATAGACTAGTTTTCATAAAACAAATGATCTGAATCAACTTTGGTGACAGAAATGAGTGTTTCGGGTTACACTGCCAAGTCAGCAAATTCACAAGTAGCCCTAACAGATTTCCAGACTTTTATAGTCTGGGGCAACTACTATTTGGACTCAAGAACCATTTCATTTGAAACTTTAAACAGTAGTTTCTCACTGATTCATTCTAGAAGGGTGTTCTTTAGCTGTACTGACTGTACTGCAGTTGGGAACCAAGGTAGCACTGGGCCTGTGGCTCACAGCAGCAACATTCTGAGATAAATCCTATGTATCACCAAGGCTTTATGACACTGGCAGAATGAAGCAGCCTTCTTCTGGTAATGGGTTCTCCAGCCAACTTGGTGGCTTTAACTACACACACAGATGTTAACATCTGCCAGAAACTGTATCGCTTCCTCTTCCATGAAAGCAAGAGAGATGATTTAGCATTCATTGCTGGACTTCAGCTGACCTCCTTTTCAGTATCTAAAGATGGAGTGTAAGAAAGGAGACAGACTCTTTAGCAGGGTCTGTTGTGACAAGAGGAAATGTATGTTGGACAAGAGGAAATGGTTCCAAAGTAAAAGAAGGGAGATTTAGATTGGATATAAGCAAAGATTTTTTTTACAATAAAGATGGTGAGGCACTGGCACAGGTTGCCCAGAGAGGTGCTGGGTGCCCCGTCCCTGGAGACACCCAAGGTCAGGCTGGACGGGGCTCTGAGCACCTGATCAGCTGTAGGTGTCCCTGTTCAGTGCATGGGAGTAGAACCAGATGGTCTTCAAGGGTCCCTTCCAACGATTCTATGAACACCTAGAGCAGATGCATGACAGTGCCTGTTTCCACTTCCCTGATAATGAGGAAACCAAAGGACACTGGCAGTATCTCCCTTCTGAGCCCATCACCCAGGCCTGCACACAGGGGGAGTGAAGCTGCTGTGGGTGCAGCGCTTTCTGTTCCTCGCAGCCCACGAAATCTCATCCGCATTCCAGGTCCTCCAGCCATCACCAGGGCCTGTAGGGATGTGAAACTATCTGGCAGGCAGTGGTCGAATAGCCTGCTGAAGTGTAATTTCCCTTTCTACAACAAAATTAAGAAAGGGGAAATTCTCTGCAATCGATGCTAGACTGAAAAAAGAAATGACAGGCCTTGAAGATGTTTTGGCATGGCACTGGTCTCACCCTTCTGCATGCCCAGAGAAGGACAGTGAAGCTGTGAAAGGCCTGGACACACAAATCTTACAGGCAGCAGCTGAGGAAGCTGGGATGATTCGGTCTAGAGAAGAGGAGGCTCAGGGAAACCTTATTGCTCTCTGCAACTGCATGAAGGGAGGTTGTGCTGAGGAAGGGGTCAGCCTCTGTTCCCAGTAACAGCGATAGGGTGAGAGAGAATGGCCTCAAGTTGCAGCAGGGGAGGTTCAGGTTGGGTATTAGGAAAAACGTCTCCAAAAGAGCGGTGATGCAGCAGCACAGGCTGCACAGGGAGGTGCTGTGGTCACCGTTCCTGGAGGTGCTCAAGAACCGTGGGGATGTGGCACTGGGGGACATGAGGCACGGTGGGGTGGGCTGGGGTTGAACCGGGTGATCGCAGCGCTCCTTTCCAACCGTGAAGATTTGGTGACTCTGCACCCTCACAGCTTAGCGGCCAAATGAAGCACAAACCGTGCCCAGAGCCCACCGGAGCTTTCCCTGGCCCGAAACCACGGGACCGCCCAGCTCCCCGCAGGCAGCGCTGAGCGGAGGTGACCGACCGAGCGTGGACAGATGATGAACTCCCCTCAGAGGCCACCGAGCACCCCCGGCCGGCCCGCCGCCCCGCAGTCCCCTCCCCGTCGAACTGGAAACCGCGGGGATGCCCGGCCCGTCAGCTCGGCGAGGGGCGAGGCGCTGCCGCGGCCTGCATGGAGCCGCCGGCGGAGGGCGGCGGCGAAATGGCGGCGGCGCTGGGGGCCGCCAAGCGGGCGCTGCGAGCGGAGCTGCGGCACAGACTGCGGGCTCTGGGCGCGGCGGAGAAGCAGCGGCAGTCCCGGCTGCTGAGTCGCAAGGTGGGTGCTTCCAGGAAGAGCGGAACCCGGAGGCGGGGGGAGGGCTGCGGGCATTGCAGGGCCCCCCGCTCCTGGGGCGCTGCGAGGAACGAGCTCTTCCCTTCCTTCAGCCGGCGGCCGGGATCGTAGGCCGCGGCGGGAAGCGCTGCGTGCCGGGAGGCGGCGAGGCCGGAGGCGAGCTTTGCGACAGAGCCCAAAGCGGCGGGGTTTTGCGGCAGGCGTTCGGCTTGCGTTTGTCGCATCGCTCTCGCTGTGCGCCCAGCAAAGCGCGTCTGAAAACTTTGCGACTGACTGGTTGCGGCCTTTCGGCTGCCGTTTCCCGTTCGTGTCTTTCAGTGTGCTTCTTCCGTGCAGTTCTGTTCCTAATGTAATTTCCATGCTTTAAAGCTACCGGGCAGGGCTCACCTCAGCCGTGCTTTTCGGAATTTCTGTTGGCATTTGGGTGATTGAATTTTTATATTGCTGTATTTTATCATTTTAATAAACACAATATATTATTTTGCAGTCACTGCGCGTAATAGAACACAGCTCTATTTTCTTTCTTTCTTTTTTTTTTTGCAGCACCAGCGTGTGCATGTAGGTGATCTGCATTTCTGTAGTTATTTTCCTGCAAAAGGACCTGAAATCATTTTATAAGCTTAACTTAATCCCATCCTATCCTTAAATTTCAGTTTTTTGGAACACTGTCCAAAAATGCACAGTCCTCGGCCAATCTTATAAGCACCCAGGTCACATAGTGCAGAATAGTTGGAGCCCTCAGCCTTTGGTCTGACCACAGCTGATACACTCAGCAGCAACACATTTATTGTTGGTAGTAAGAACGTGCTAAAAGGTAAAGCTTTTGTTTTACTTAAAGGAAGGCTGGGGAGATATGACAAATTCATGCCACCATGACATTTTGCCAGGATGACACAAGTTGAAAGTCTAGAGCTTTCTTCAGACAGGGTGGCATTCTGCAATGACAGAAAGCAGTCAACTTCCTCATGGGAAAGCGATGCAATAGACATGAAGTTTTTGAGAGTGTTGAGAAAATACTTGGAACAGCATGAGGCTCAAAGTGCAGCTTTATAATACACAACAGAAATGGCAGCTAATAAAAGCAAGCACATTATTTTATAGCACCTGAACAATATTTATCGAAGCAAAATATCTCTTCAAAACGATCTTTAAGTTCAAACTGAAATTGCTACGCTAGTTGGCCTAGCCACTGGTGTTTAATTAGCTACTGGATGACTATTTTTCTTTAATGTGCACATCCATGATTGAAGTCATGCTGTTTGCATGCTCTGATTCTGCAGTAATAGCCATCAGCGGGTGAGCAGAGGGCACATAATATTTTTTAAGCGTGGAAATTTTTTTACTCTTCTCAGAAACTACTCAGAGCAGCTTCATCTTCACGTTTCAGAAAACATCACTAATTTTGTCTTCCTGGTAGCTTGTGGTTTTACATCTCCAACCTCATTTCTTTCTGTACTGCATAATCAATGTGTTGTTGGACATGTCAGAACACATTTGGCCTGTATGGTGCCCACAGCACCACTTTGAAAGAGGAGAGCTGTGTGTTTCAGTTTCTCTGTTCTCTGAAGCCATGAGAAGGTGAGGGAACCCTTCAGTAACATGAATTGCAGGCTCCAGACAGTGCTGTGATTCGACTCAGTAGTCAGTTCTTTCAAACAAAGGCTAGCGTGGAGATTCTGTTATTCAAAAGCTTAATAACTTAGTTGGAAGAGTCTGTGGGTAAGGTTGGGTAAATTACAAAGAGAAATAAAATACACTTTGGAGTTGCTAGGTGCTTCTATCGTCAAGCAGAACATTACAATTAGGGCTGGAGTACCTCATTATATCTTACCTTCCAAAAATGTATCCGTCTTTTTATACTGGGTTTGTAACTGGGGTGCTAGAAAGAAAGAATAAAAAGGAATGAGAACCAATTTGAAACTCAGATATTAGCATATCTTTCTCCAACAAGTGCAAGGGCTAAAGCTCAGAAGGGCAGTTACCCCGAAGTTAGGCAAACACAGAGGATTTGCTGTTCTCTGCTCATTGATAAGCCCCGTTTCTCAATTTTTGAGAGATGTCTGGAAGCGTGTAGAACAATTATAAATCCCATTTAATTCACAAGGGACCCATTTGTATTTGTTTTGTAATGAACTAGAAAAGGAGAAGATAGGCCTTTAAAAAAAATCCTCACAAATCATAATACGGGATTTAATCTGGAATTGGGCAGAGACACAGCAAGGTATGAATCTGTTCATTTGTTTTTTTTAAACCACATTCACTGCTTTTTGCTCTCCTTCCCACATTCAATCTTTCCTAAGTCCAGCACAGACAACCTCCTGAAAATCAAAAGCAGGTGATGTTTGTAGCTGTATATCTAAATTTGCTCGTGGAAAGGCATCCCAGATTAACAAAAGAAAGGCCTAATCTTCTAAGACTTTGAGCTCTGCAGTCAACTGCTCTGATGCATATCTTCTTTTGGGTTATTGTAATCAATGTTGTAATCAATGCACTTCTCACTATGGCCAGGTCCAGTTATGAAGCACAGCATATTAAAAAAATGGAATTAAAGGAATGCAAAAACCTCATGTATAAGCTGGCAGTTCTGACCTGCTGTATTTGTCCCCAGTGATGTTGGGTATTTAAGGATACTGGTGCTGTATGGCATAAGTACTTGAAGGGTCCAGACTGACTCCAAAATTGTTTTGTTGTTAGTCTCAACCTGTTTTATTTTTATCTGGGTACAAAAATTTGCTTATTTTGATTTTGCTGATGGTAGAAGCATTGGAACAGGAAACAAAGTCATTTTATTCTCTTTATGGTAATTTGTATTTCTACTTATATTTCTACAATACTCCAATGGGTATTTTCCTCCAGTGGTATTTTTAATTAAAATAAAGTCAGTCTTTTTGTGAACTCTTCCTGAACTGATGATGGCAGTTTCCTTTATAGGTGATTGGGCATTCCAAGTACCAAGAATCCAAAAGAATTGCAATCTTTCTGAGCATGCCAGATGAAATCCAGACAGAAGAAATCATCAAGGACATTTTTAAGCAAGGCAAAGAGTGTTTCATCCCACGTTACAAACCTCACAGCAATCACATGGACATGCTGAAGTTGTCGTCAGCTGAAGACATGGCTTCACTCACTTTGACATCCTGGAATATTCTTCAGCCCAGTGATGGTGACAGCACAAGAGAGGAAGCTCTTGCTGGCGGTGAGTAATTTCGTCGTACATCATAGGGTTGTTGAGCAGGAGCAGCCTGGTGGGAAATAACCTGATCACAAGAATTAAGTGCTTTGCTTTGGTCTTACATGCTTTGGTAGAGATGCTGAGGTCAACGTTAGCAGGTGTTACTTTCTCTTGCCTGTTTTTCACTGCTCTCTGCCACCACTCAGCAGAGCTGGCAAGAGCAAGACTGGACAGTTGATCCAATAAGTCCATTGCTCCAGATAAATCATCTCCCTGGTCCTGTTCCAGGGACAGGCTCAATGCAATCTTGGCAAGCACAGCATACAGGCTCACAGAGGAGACAGGAGCTTGCCAGGAGTCTCTTGAGATGCCTTTGAAGTCACGAGGATTCACAGTTTTCAGATACACTTTGAGAACTTTGATTTCCACTGCATGAAAAGTGCAAAACTTTTCAGATGATGCCTATAGGCTGACATGAGAATTTTCTGAAATCTTTGATCCTGAAAATTGTATTGCATGGGTGAAGCACAGTGCTGCCCATGCAGAACAGTTTTCTGGACTGAGACCTTAGACTGAAAATAAAGTAACTTGCTTGCAGGATTGGATAAATATCAAACTCTTTTCAATCATTGTTGTTCCCTTACCTTTTTTTTTTTTATTCTGGTCTTACAGTGGTGTCTCAGATTCTTCATAGCGTTGAAAAGTTCATGTAGGTCTGCATTGATCCCAAATTAACCTCTGTATTTTACCATGAAATTCCCCAGTTTCTAAAGAATTGTGAACATTTGTGAACAATTGTGAATCTTACCTTTTCTTTGTCTGTATTATTGTCACTTTTTATAAGCAATAACATCATCCTGAAACATCTGCAGAATTTTTTTAGTGGTATTAATGGAAAACATGTTGCATTTGTGCTTGAAACCTCAGTCTGGGGAAATTTTCTCTAGACGGAAATTTACCATGCAGACAGCTTCCACACCTCACAGCTTTTGAATGTTCAATACAGAAACATAAAATTTATATGAAGCTGTTTGGTTGAACTGGGCTTTGCATTTGTTTTGGGATGCTAATGCACTTTCCCTGAGCACTGTGCTTTAGACAAACATTGCTGAAAGCATTAGCTCTAGTACACAGTCTTCAATTATCAGCATTTTCACTGTGTTTGATTCCCTTCTCTTTTATTTATCATTACCTCTTCCTTAATCCATGATCCCGCCTGTCCGTGTCTGCAGCATAGCTAGCAAGGGATTCAACTGCTTCATACAGCTGTGCTCTTTGCATTTAATATTTAGTACTGTTACTTGTTTTCCTATTGGTTTTTCATCATGAATTTGCAAGTATCAGTGATATCTCAGAGCTTTTGAAGGTAACCCATAAAAAGTCCAGGGTTCTGTTGACTGGGCTTGCTTTAGGTACTCAAAACAAGCTTTTGTACTGCCAAAGAGCTGCTGTTAGTTGACTTTAATAAGTCTCTTGCAGAGATCACAGAGTAAGCACACAGTTTTAATTGTAATGAGAGCAAGAATTACCTGGTATAGAGTACATAGGAATGGACTTCTTGGGGATGACTTGTATGGGGCTGTGAAGATGGAGAATGCAGGAGCAAGCTGTGGTACCTGTTTATCTCTGGAGCTGCTGCACCTGGATCCAGTGATGGGCATAGAACAACACCAAGAAAGCTTGGTAACTTTTAAAATGGTACTTTGTTTTTATGACCAGCAGTTGAAATCACTGATGCACAGCCGCATCAGACTTGCTCTGCCTAAAGCTTCAGTTTAATCTTTTGTACTCAGTAACAAACAAGTAATTAATTCACTGTGGATTGGAAGTCAGACCATAATCCTTTCTCCCTGGATAGGTTTTGAAAACTATGAAGTAAGTTTGGTTTTTTCTTTATGGCATGGTTGGACACACTCACCTCAATCTTTCTCCACAGAAACAGACACTGACTTTCAGTGCTTCTCTAAAATACTTCTACATTTTTGTGTCAGTTATACCCATTGAGCTTTGGTACGTTTGCAGGAATGCAAATTGTCTTGCTCCCACATTCATCCTCCACTGTTGGAATTATGCATGGATGAAACATTTATCTTTGTGATGTTATCAAATACTGTGGTGATCCAAGGCATTTACACTGATATCAGGAGATGACATGGTGTTATATTAGTAATGTTCCCATTGCTTTCATAAGTTGCTATGTAATTTCCAAGGAATACCCTGCAGGTACATAAATAAGTCATGTCACTACTGAGTGTATTCATTTTGCATGACAAAAAGCTTGAATGCAGATAGCCCTTAAAACTCCTTTACTTTTTACAGGTGTGGTTGTTGTGAAGAATAGCTCAAATGTAAGGCTAAGTAAATTTCACATCAACTTTCCTAGTCCTCAGTAGCACTCACAGGCTGTGAGTACCAGGCACCAACCCTACCTTTTGAAGAAAGTCTTTTTTTGTTGGATCAGGGTTTACCTGTTCTCATCTTGGCAGCTCATGGTGTTACACATTGCTGGCACAGCAAAAGCCACTGCAGGTTTTGTAGTAGATAGTCTGTTGTCTTCCCTACCGTGCATTGATAACTAGTTTTCATATGAAGAGTTCTTTCCTTCAGGCTAAATGGACATGGTAACAAGTAACAAGTGTGGGAAAAGCCCAGATATTTGGTATGGGATATGGATGTATATATGTGCATTACTCAGTTGATTTCTAGATATATCTGCTGAAAAATTCTCAGCAACCTCTCAATTTCTCAATATATGCCCTTTCATTTGATTATATCCTTGCCCACCTAAAGCATAAATACATACTAGTATAGTGTTTGCTAAAATGGTACTTTCGATTAAAAAAAAAAAAATCTCACCACAGTAACTGTTTGTGGGAGTATAGACACCTTGCACAACTTTGGAAGGAGTAAATCAGATAAAACCATGCTCCCTGTTTGCTTTTTCAATGATTCTTACAGAGATTTGAAGGGTACTTCACCAGCAGCTCTCATCTCAGCATGGTTTAAAGAGGCAGTGTGGTTCAGCAGGGTGGACGTGGGTTTCCTTACTTGTATTATCATGTATTATTATTTTAATTTGCCTTGAGTACTATAGAGAGGAAAAAAAAAAAAGAAAAAAAAAACTAATTTAGTACTTGTAAGAATAGGTTATTCTTCTTGGGTCTTGAAAACAGTAACTGGATTCAACACATCCATATGATAAAATGCCCCTATAAGGAAAAGCAATGGCAGATAGCCTAAATTGCCCCCCCCAAAAAGTTGATGGTCACAATCCAGTTAAAGAAAGAAAGAGTTACTTACCAACCCCCAGGATCAGGTCTTACAAATACACCAAAAGGAAGGATCTGCAGGTACAGATCCTTCCCTGGGGGCAGCCACCCCTTAAATGAGGCTTAGGGAGAGGTGGAACCTGGTTCCAGTCACACAGTTGAATTGTTTTCACCTGTGCTCCCTGGGCTGGCTGTGTACCTTCACCAGGTGCTCAATCATTGGTTCATTCCCATACAGCCCCTTTTCAAACCAGTAATTTCTCTGTGAACTTAATGTCTGCCTCCAGCCCTCCAGTTCTTTGCCCAACAGTCCAAGTCTCCATTTCCAAGCATCCTTTCTGAGCCAACTCGCTCTTTCCTCTTCCTCCCAGCCATAGGCTGCCATTTCGTGGGCAGCTGGGCCAACATAAATAGCTTCCCTCCACCGGAAAGGACATCATGTGCTTTTTCTTCTTTCACTTGTCTGAGCCCAGACATACAAGATTCCTAGTCCCAGTATACTCATTTCCTTCCCCACTGGGCTGGCTTCTTCTTCATTGACTTGGAAGAGTTCGCTTTCTGTTAAATTTTCATTTTCTTCCGGTAAGCAATGCAGAATTGCTTCTCAAGCATAGTTTGGTGATAGTTTTTGTTGATCACTGCAGTGTTAAATAAGCTGCTGCCCTCTCCTCTTTACTTTCTTTCTCACTGTCCCCATCCCTCCTCTATGAAGCAGTACAGGTATCTGTACTGGAAACCTAGTCTAGGTTAGAACCAGCCCACCACCAGTAAAAGGCTCTCCTCTTAGACAGGGCCATGTGCCATTTGGACTGCTGCAACTACAGGCTTGGTAGGGAGCTGGTGATGAAGAGTTGTGTAAACTGGTGGCTCGCCAGAAGAAACGCTAGTGAAACTTCAGTCATTTCCTTCCTTGTTTCACTTCCCAGTCTTGCTCCAGTTTGACAGGCTTTGTAATGGGGCCCTCCTGGCTGCCCATGGCTTGGAGTCTGCAGGCTGGAAGGCCTGAGCTTGCAGCTCCAGCTCTCTCTGCTGGCTTTAGGAACGTTCCTTCCCTGTGACTGCAGCACACTCTTACCCTGGCCTCCCCATCATAAACTGGATGAAGAGTATTTTCCTCCTGTCTGCCTGTTTGGGTTGGGATCTTTTAACTCAGATAAGTGACTGGATTGAGTTTGCCATGTGGCTGTGGGGCAGGCAGAATGGAGGGAATGTCCCATGTAAACTGGCACTGGTTCCTGGAAAGTTGTGGGGCTGTCCATGTGTGGTTTGGAGACGGTGACAACTGGAGAGGCCCAGCATTAACCCTGACATCTTTCCTGAGCCCGTGCAAACAGCAGGTTTTAACAGCATTTTATAAGACTGACTCAAATGGACTTTGAAAGGGTTATAGCCACGTCGTTGACACAAAGGCTACTCTGATCAAGATTTCTTGCCTGAAAACATGGAGCTGCAGAGCTTTTCTGGACATTTTTTGCTAGCTTTGTTCTCAGAAACCGATGAACCGTTTTGTCTGAAATTAAAAAAAAAAAAGAACAAAACAACCTCGGTTTGGCAGAAATACCCAGGCTGGAAAATGTCATTTGAAAATATAGCATTCTGTGATAATGGGCCATGCTGAATAAGCTGCAGCTACTCTCCTGAAACATAAGTATTTTTGCTCCCAGAAATGAATGTATAAAGAACTGGACTTGTAATTTACTTTAGAGACTTCCAGAATTTTCAGTACTGGAAATTTGGTGACCTCCTGATTGCAGT